CGCCCCAACCCCCCCCCCCCGCCGCCACCACGAGTGGGGCTGAGGCGGAGACGGTGTGGAAGGAGCACAGGCCTGAGGGGACGCCAACGCCAACGCCAAAAGCACGGCCGCGCTCGGCGCTGCAGAGAGATGCTGCCGCCGCAGAGCCGCCGGGCCTCGCCTGCGTGAGGGGCATGCCGTGGCATTCAAACGCTGGGCAGCTCTCGGACACAAACAGGAAAATACTTTATCCACGGTTTTTAGGGTTTTTTTGGTAGTATATCATTATGTCTGACAGTCATTGCTGTAGAGCGATACCTGTAAGCGCTCGTCGCAGGACCAAAATTGAAGCACTGTATTGCAGCACCACAGAGACCGAGGCAGGTTTTGTGGGCCAGTCTCCCCCCAGAGAAGGGCGGGGAGGAAGGGCGTTTGGAAGGCGGTATCACCTGGCAGGTGTCTCATCAGGCGTAATGGTAAGCGAGGTGATCGGGTGATACTGCCTGCACCCAAAGGTCAGCTGGGTCAAAGATACCTCTGTGCTATTTTTAAACAAATGAGCTATGGAAGAATCCTTTTATAGCTATACAGCGATTCGGCTTGTGTGGCCATGACGTTTTGAGCTGATCCCCAGTGCCCTAAAAACAAGCTCATGATGGCACTTAACTCTAGGCAAGGAAAGTGATGGGAGTTTTTATACTAGATACAATTTTATGCTAAGTTATATCACGTCTCTGCCTTTCCATCATGTTTGGAGTGATGGAAATGATTCCAAGTACAAAGGCACAGCAGTATCTGTTGGAATGACAATAAAATGCCAGCCTTGTAAAATGAAGACGAATAGCTGATTCTCAAAACCTAATGCCTAGGACATCACAGCTTGTACTTTGTAATTCTAACGGTAATAAAGCCTTTGTTTTTCCATGTCAACAGTTCTGAGTATGATTCACACAGCGTGGAGCAGCAGAGTCCCTGTGCGTTTAAACCCCGGCCGGATGGCACAGACAGTTTTCCCGTTTACCACGAGATGGCATTGCGCTGGAGAATATCTTGTTCCCTGTCTTGGACAGCTCATACTTTCACCTGGAATTACAGATAAAATTAACTTTAAAGACAGTTCTTTGAAGAGGTGCCCGTGCACAATTTAGATTTAGGCATAAATTTATACTTTTGATCTGCAAAGTCCACTTTTTCTGCAGTCTGGTCAATACCTGTACACCGATCC